AGCCAAGGAGATTTGGGAAGCTCTCCAAACGGCACAGAAAGGAACAACTCAAGTCAAGCAGTCAAATATTGACATGCTCAACACTGAGTATGAACTCTTCAGGATGAAGGATGATGAATCCATTCAGGACATTCACACTCGATTCACCTCCATCATCAATGAGCTTCACTCTCTGGGAGAAATCATTCCAAGGAATAAACTTGTCAGGAAAATACTTAGTGTACTACCTGGTTCCTGGGAAAGCAAGGTCAATGCTATCATAGAGGCAATGGATCTGCAAAGGCTGACCATTGATGAACTCATTGGAAATCTGAAGACATATAAAATGAAGAAAAAGAAGGACCATGAAAGAAGAGAACCCAAGAAGGAGAAGAACCTGGTCCTCAAGGATGTCAATAATGACTCAAGTGGAGAGGATGCTGACATGGCCTATCTAACAAAAAGATTTCAGAAAATGGTGCGCAGAAATGGAGGCATTCCAAAAAGGGGTAGCTCCAGCAGACCAAAAGGCTATGACTTGTGTCATAAATGTGGAAAGCCAGGACATTTCATCAAAGAGTGTCCTTTACACAAGCAAGATTAGTACAAACACAATACAGACAAAGCAGTGAAGAGGAACAAGGTTCCTGACAAAAGATTCTAGAGACAAGAAGACACTGACAATGTTGTGAAATAAGCTCTTGCTGCATGGGCAGATTCTTCAAGCGAATCTGGAGAAGATGATGTACAAGGTGATACCTCCATGGTGGTAGTTGAAAGTGAAGCAGCTGAATATGATTCTATCTTTGCCCTGATGGCAAATCTGACGATGATGAAGATGACGATGATGATAATGATGATGCGGGAGCAGTGAAAGAAAGCAGCCCGAAATGGTATATGGGTAGTGGTTGCTTTAAGCATATGACTGGAAGCATCGATGATTTTCTTTCACTCAAAACCATGCAAGGATGGAGTGTGTCCTTTAGCAATAACATAAAGGGATACAGTCTGGGAGTATAAAGATTTGGAAAGACGCTCACTCACTCAATTGAGAATGTGTATTATGTGAATGGCTTGAAATATAGCCTACTGAGTGTCTCTCAAATCTGCGACAAAGGAAACAAAGTGGAATTTGTATCCAAAACCTGCACAGTCACAAATCTTGTGACTGGTGAAGTGGTTCTGGTGGCAAAAAGATACAAAAATATTTATGTTGCTGATTTTCAGTCCTTGCACAATGGGGATCTTACATGCTTGAGTGTTATTGATGAAAATGTTGAATCGTGGCACAAAAGATTGGGTCATGCAAGCTTTACGTTGCTGAACAAATTGGTCAAGAAGGACCTGGTGCGTGGACTACCTATGTCAAGTTTCAAAGATCACAAAGTGTGTGATGCATGTGTCAAAACAACTGTCACAATGCAAGCTCATACCAAATATTGTCTGCTTTGGTGCAATAGACCTTACAAATTTATTTCTTGGATTAGGTCATTATTGAGCCTATAATCGTGCTCCCTTATCTCATATTGATGTGGTATTCGTTTAAAATATCATGTGCACCTTTTCTTCGAAAGCTCACCAACCTAGAAACCCGTCAGTTCTCTCTTCGACTCGCCCTCGTCTGCCCGCCCTCTTTCATAGGCATCAGAAACTTGATATGTGATGATTATTTAATGTCTTTGTAAAATTATACTCCCTCCGTTTCAATTTATGTGGACCTGTTTGACTGGGCACGGAGTTTAAGAAAAAATGAAGACTTTTGGAATTTGTGGTTCTAAACAATTCAAAAATAGGCCCGGAGTATTTGTGTGGTTATAAAAACTTCTCATTAAGGGTAGAATTGTAAGTTTAAGCAAAATTGTTTCCAAATTTAGAAAGGAGTCATTCTTTTTGGAACGGACCAAAAAGGAAATAGGTTCACATAAGGAATAGAGGGAGTAGATACATATGTAGTTTATTATTCAAGCATTTTAGATTCTTTTCAATAATTATTATTTTTTAACTGATAATATAGTCAATTCATGCAATTCATTTTTTTTCGAGACATTATTGATTTTAAATAAGATTTTAACCCAGGTAACTATTCACATTAATCAATAATCAACATGGACACTTGGAAGTTAATTTCTTATCTCTATGTATATTAAATTCGAGTAATTTAATTTTTCAGCTTGCACAATTTCTCCTAGCACTTATCATTTCAATCTAGGGTGTGTCACGATCTAATTAGCTTGAAGCGAATCTACAAAGACATTGAAAGAAATACAAAATCAAAGTTGCAAAAATTAATTCAGTTAAGTTTCAGTGGACTACTATTTTAATTATCTACCACTTTCATCTTTGATTACCTCAATAAAATCCCTCAAGTAAGAATTATGTGACTAATGATTGGTAATAAGCTGATAACAAATGATTAAAAATTTTCCCTTATCTTAATAAGAAATAATAATTATTTGAATTATATATTTTATGTCTAATAGGAATAATTTTAGGGGGTTAATTATCTAGTCTAGAATAAAAAGCGAAGAAATAGAATAAAGGACATGGTTGTCGGGGGCCCACAATGGGCGCTAAACTATTTACTCGTAAAACGGTGCGATTAAATTTATACGTAGTTTCTAGACAAATAAATTAATTTAATTCTGAAATAATAAAATAATCGAAGAATTATGGAATACTTAGCCTTAGGATGTAGACGAAATAACAGAAGCAATAGTTCCGGGAACAGGATTTTTGGGCACAACAATGACGAAATCAAAAAGTAAGAAGATAAGATGGTATTAAGCTTTGTATAGATGTAGCGTAAGTTTGCGAGAAAATTCGTGTCCTTTACAATGATAACTGAGCTCACTATTTATAGCTATGTCTAGGGGAGAAGGTCCTAGGATCGTGCCCTCCTTTAATGTCAATTATGAGGGACATTGATGAAGATATAACAGTAAACATAAATGCCAAATTCCCTGTAACGGGTAATTGCTCTTAATGCCATGGAATGTTCTCTATTAAATGCTACCGAGCGAACAACATTTATCACATCTTTATGAGCATTATTCTTTCCGGTGACAAACGAAACAGTTGTCTTCGATCTTTGGCCATCCCCCATCTTGAGTTTCACGCGTCCGTTTTTTGGACGGTCACGTGTCATAGCATATTTTACCCTATACAATTATTGATTTGAAATAAGATTTTAACCAAGGTAACTATTCACATCAATCAATAATCAAAATGTACACTTGGAATATAATTTCTCCTATATAATTATTGATTTTAAATAAGATTTTAACCAAGGTAACTATTCACATTAATCAATAATCAAAATGGACACTTGGAATATAATTTCTTATCTATATGTATATTAAGTTGAGTAATTTAATTTTTCAACTTGCACAATTTCTTCTAGCATTTTTAGTCGTATAAAGTAAGAATTATGTGACTAATGATTGGTAACAAGCTGATAACAAATGATTAAAAAAATTTCCTTATCTTAATAAGAAATAATAATTATTTGAATTGCATATTCATATTTAATAGGAATAATTTTAGGGGCCTAATTATCTATTAAATAGAAGAAATAGAATAAAGGACACTAAAAGAATAGGGAAAGAAACTTGATACGCAAGACTCCAAGGGAAAATAACATTTACTAATCCTATTCCCAATCAAATTGGGTATTAATTCGGCCTATTTAACTCTGTAAACATTAAACCCTATAATCCCAACAAATTTCATTCTACAAAATGTCTCATACAACTATGTTGCAAATAAGAGATCAAGTGGCCAGGCATATGGCTACAACAGCTCGAATGAGTGTCAATCATAGTATCATGCCTCATTGTTTGTGGGTCCCACCATCAGTTCCTTATAGTATTCTTGATAAAATTGATGCAGAGATAGAAAAAGAAGAGTTTGGGGTTGACATATCTGATCAGTATAGTGTTAATCATTATGCGTTTCTGGTGCCACAATCTGATGATAATCTTGATGATGAAATTGAAGAAGAAGAGGAGAAAGAGGAGTTTGGGGTTGACATATATGATAGTCTTGATAGAGAAATAGAAAAAGAGTTTGGGATTGACATATCTGAGTATTTAGAAACAAGAATATTTTATGCTCCAATGTGTGAAGATGAAGAAAAAGATGCATGTTTCATCTGTGCATATGAATATGAAGATGATGATATCATTGGCACACTTCAATGTGGCTATGACTTTCATGCAGATTGCGCCAACAAGTGGCTACTGACGAGGACGAAATCATGTCCGTGTTGTAGCGATCCAGTTCTGCCCATCCATGATTAATCTTGTGAATTCAATGATAGCTCTAGTTTTGTATCAGTATTATTGTTATTACTTTTATTTTTACTCATCGTAGTTACTGACCTATCAAACTTTTAGTATTTTAGTCTTAGCTGATTTGAGTTTCTGGTGTTTAAGTGATTCTGTAATACTTTAGACATGGGATTAAGAAGAAACCCTCCCTAGGAGGTGGGCTTCTTAATTCCATTAAGGCAAGAATTATTAGCAGGTTTTGTTTGTTTTTGAGCTTGATTAGAGAAGACAGCAGACCGGGTTGTGGCCTAGCTGAAGTTTTGTAATTCTCTTGGTGATTAATAAAAAAATTTAGTACCATAAAAAAGTTGTCTATCCCCTGTTCGTTCCTAGTGCTGTGGCTACTTTTTGGCACATATGCTTATAACACAAATGGAGTTCTGTGGATACTGGCCATGTAACCTTTTTACGTCATCTACAACACAATTTCATGGGTCAAACTGGTATTTATGATTTTCTTGAGCAACCCCAAATTAAAGAGCTAATCAGTTCCCCGCATACGTGGGGCACATATTAAAGAAAAACAAAAAAGAAAATGGGAGGTACCTAACTTTGTTGACAACTTTGTTGAACAAAATGAGAGGTGCCTAATTTTGTTGACAACTTTATTGAAGAAAATGTGAGGTGCCTAACTTTGTTGAAAAATTATAGGATTAAATCAACAACAAGACATCTTCTTTGTAGTAGTTGAATGGCATCTCTTACTATAAATAGAGGCCTCCATTCTTCATTTCAATCACACCAACATAAGAGAGAAGCAATAGAAGTTAGAGAGAGTAATCCACAGATTGTAGTCTGTGAGATAAATAGTGAGTGTGAGTAATATTGTAGTGGAGTGTTTTAAATAAAGAGTGTTATTTCTTTCAAGATTGTAGTAAGCTATTGACACTACTAAGTTGTAAAATTATAGTGGTTATATTGCTCCGCTCGGGTATTGTATTTTGCTCATTAAAAGAGTTGGTGTCGTTGTTACTCTCTTGTGTTATTATTATTTGTCGTGGATATTATTCCTGGGCGGGATTATTATTTTTTCCAACAACGTGGTATCAGAGCCATGGCAAATAATGGTACGTTGTCTTTTCAGTACCCCCGTCTCACAAAAGATAATTATGAGAAATGGTGTCTATGTATGAAAGCCATTCTTGGCTCTCAGGATGTGTGAAAAATCGTAGATAGAGGGTATGCAAAACCCGATAATGAGAAAGATCTGCCTCAAAATAAAAAAGATGTCTTGGCAAAGACAAGGAGGAAGGATCAACAAGCCCTCACGCTCATCCATCAATGTCTGGATGATGCCATGTTCGAGAAGGTGGCAGATGCTACCACCTCAAAGGAAGCTTGGGAGATTTTACAAAATTCTCTTCAAGGAGTTGCCAAAGTGAGGAAGGTAAAACTTCAAACTCTAAAGGCTGATTTTGAAGTTTTAAAAATGAAAGAATCCGAATGCATTTCAGATTATTGTTCAAAAGTGAAGGTTGTTGTAAATCAATTAAGAAGATATGGGGAGGACATAAAAGATGTCCGTGTGGTAGAAAAGATCCTTCGTACTTTAACACCTAAATTTGATTTTGTGGTGTGTGCTATTGAGTCTAAAGATTTAGACTCTATGATGGTAGAGCAATTGGAGGGTTATTTACAGACCCATGAAGAAAAGATCAAGAGGAGACAAGAAGTGCTATTGGAGCAACTTCTTAAAACTCAGGCATCCTTCAAAGATTATGGAGGTGAAAAGAGCTATCGAGGGAATGGACAGGGACGAGGTTGTGGCAGTCATGGAAGAGGAAAAAGCAACGCTAACAACTTCAACAATGAAGTTAAAATCCACCAGACATTCAGAGGTCGTGGTCGTGGACATAGAGAAGGAAGAGGACGTGGCTACTACCAAGAAAATAATAGATAAAGGTATGACAAATCCAAAATTGAGTGTTATAATTGTCATAAATTTGGCCAGTACTCTTGAGAATGTCGTAGCAATGTTGAAGAAAAAGCTAACCTTGTTGACGACAAAAAAGAAGAAGTTGAGTCAACGCTGTTGATGGCTTTGAAGGAAGAAGACAAGGATGATTGCAGCTCGTGGTATTTGGACAATGGAGCAAGCAATCATATGTGTGGATGCAAAGAAAAGTTTGTGGAGATAAATAAAACAGTGAGAGGTAATGTGTCCTTTGGAGATACCTCAAAGATTCAAATTGAAGGGATAGGTACGATTCTGATCTCCTGTAAAGATGGTAGTCACAAGCTAATTCAAGATGTTTATTATGTCACAAAATTAAAAATTAATATTTTGAGTTTGGGCCAACTTTTTAAAAAGGAATATGACATCCACATGAAAAATATGCATCTTTGGCTTAGAAATTCAAGTGGAATTCTAATTGCTAAAGTGCATATGGCTAAGAATAGATTATTCTCTCTGAATCTTAAGAAAATTGATGCAAAGTATTTGAAGGCTAATGTACAAGATGAATCATGGTGTTGGCACATGCGATTTGGGCACTTAAATTTTGAAGCGCTCAAATCAATGGGAGAAAAGAACATGATGCCTGGGATACCATCAATAAGCCATCCCAATCAATTGTGTAAAGCTTGTCTTCTTGGAAAACATGCAAGGAGGAGTTTTCCAAAGGAGGCCATGTCAAGATCAACCAAGGCACTTCAGCTTGTTCACACTGATGTGTGTGAACCAATCAATCTACCTTCCTTTGGTAAAAGTAAATACTTTTTACTTTTTATTGATGACTTTAGTAGAAAGACTTGGGTTTATTTCTTGAACTAAAAATCTAAAGCTTTTGCTATTTTTAAAAATTTTAAAGTACTTGTAGAAAAAGAAAGTGGCTATAAAATAAAAGCTTTAAGGTCCGATAGAGGAGGCGAATTCACTTCAAACGAATTTAATGACTTTTGTAAATCTCATGAAATTCGTCGCCCTCTAACTGTACCTTATTCACCCCAATAAAATGGAGTTGCAGAGAGAAAGAATCGAACGATTCTTAATATGGCTAGATGTATGTTAAAAGCTAAAAATATACCCAATGAATTTTGGGAAGAAGCTGTATCTTGTGCAGTTTATTTGAACAACAGGTCTCCAACAAAGAATGTTAGAGATCAAACCCCCCAAGAAGCATGGAGTGGAAGAAAGTCAGGTGTCAAGTATTTGAGAATCTTTGGGAGCATAGCCTATGCTCATGTGCCACATCAAGGGAGAGCGAAGCTTGACGATCGAAGTGTCAAGTATGTGTTTGTTGGCTATGATACGAGTTCAAAAGGCTACAAGCTATACAACCCAAGTAGTGGCAAGATGGTGGTAAGTCGCGATGTTGGATTTGATGAATAATTGGCATGGAACTGGGAAGCTCAGGAAGAAACTTCATATGATTTTCTTCCATACTTTGGTGATGAACAAGAACCAGAGACCGTGAAACCTGTGCAGGATAAAACTCCACCTCCTTCTCCAACAAATGTTGCATCTATCTCTTCTCAAGAAAGTTCAAATTAACAACCACAAAGGACAAGGAGTATTCAAGAACTCTATGAGGACACAGAGGAAGTTACTAATTTTGATTTTTTATATTGTCTCTTTGCTGATAGTGAACCAATGAACTTTGATGAAGCTGTTGAAGACAAAAGGTGGAGACAAGCCATGGAGGAGGAGATCGAGTCAATAAAGAAGAACAATACTTGGGAGTTAACAACACTTCCCAAGGGTCATCGAGCAATTGGAGTTAAATGGGTATACAAGGCAAAGAAGAATGTTGATGGAGATGTGGAGAGATACAAGGTACGACTTGTGGCTAAAGGCTACAAGCAAAGGCAAGGCATTGACTATGAAGAAGTCTATGCACCTGTTGCCCGCATAGAGACGATTCGTTTGCTTATCTCTTTGGCGGCGCAAATGAAGTGGAAGATCCATCAACTAGATGTCAAGTCAGCTTTTTTGAATGGCTATCTTGAAGAAGAAGTCTATGTTGAACAACCATTGGGCTTTGTGGTCAAAAACCACGAAGATAAAGTGTTGCGATTGAAGAAAGCTTTATATGGATTAAAGCAAGCCCCACAAGCATGGAATAGTTGTATCGACAAGTATTTTCAAGACAATGGGTTTACTCGTTGTCTCCATGAATATGCTCTTTACCTTAAAGTTCATACTAATAGAGATATCTTACTTGTTTGTCTTTATGTTGACGATCTTATTTTCATGGGTAATAACCCAAGTTTGTTTGAAACTTTTAAGGAAGATATATCTCGTGAGTTCGAGATGACAGATGTAGGGCTCATGTCATACTACTTGGGCCTAGAAGTGAAACAGATGGAGGATGGAATTTTCATCTCTCAAGAAAGATATACAAAAGGAGATCTTGAAGAAGTTCAACATGCTCGATTGAAACCTCGTGAATACACTGATGGAGAGTGAGACAAAATTGTCCAAGTTTGATGAAGGAGAAAATATGGATCCAACATTTTTCAAAAGTCTTGTGGGAAGATTGAGGTACTTGACTTGTACCAGGTCAGATATACTCTTTGCAGTTGTAGTAGTAAGACGCTTCATGGAAGCTCATATCTCCACTCATTTGAAAGTCACTAGAAGAATTCTTCGTTACCTAAAAGGTACGATCGACATTGGGTTATTTTATTCTTCTTCTAATGATTTCAACCTTATGGGATTTTGTGGTAGTGATTGTGTGGGAGATATTGATGATAGAAAAAACACAACTGGCTTTGTGTTTTTCTTGGGTGATTCTGTTATTTCTTGGAGTTTAAAGAAACAGTCCATAGTTACTCTCTCGACTTGTGAAGCTGTATATATAGCAACAACATCATGTACCTGTTATGCTATTTGGCTAAGAAGATTATTGAAGGAGCTCAATTTGCCACAAATTGAAGCTACATAGATTTGTTTTGATAACAAATCTGCACAGGCACTCGCCAAGAATCCGGTGTATCATGATCGAAGCAAGCATATAGATACAAGATAT